TGTGTGTGTGTGTGTGTGTGTGTGTGTGTGTGTGTGTGTGTGTGTGTGTGTGTGTGTGTGTGTGTGTGTGTGTGTGTGTGTGTGTGTGTGTGTGTGTGTGTGTGTGTGTGTGTGTGTGTGTGTGTGTGTGTGTGTGTGTGTGTGTGTGTGTGTGTGTGTGTGTGTGTGTGTGTGTGTGTGTGTGTGTGTGTGTGTGTGTGTGTGTGTGTGTGTGTGTGTGTGTGTGTGTGTGTGTGTGTGTGTGTGTGTGTGTGTGTGTGTGTGTGTGTGTGTGTGTGTGTGTGTGTGTGTGTGTGTGTGTGTGTGTGTGTGTGTGTGTGTGTGTGTGTGTGTGTGTGTGTGTGTGTGTGTGTGTGTGTGTGTGTGTGTGTGTGTGTGTGTGTGTGTGTGTGTGTGTGTGTGTGTGTGTGTGTGTGTGTGTGTGTGTGTGTGTGTGTGTGTGTGTGTGTGTGTGTGTGTGTGTGTGTGTGTGTGTGTGTGTGTGTGTGTGTGTGTGTGTGTGTGTGTGTGTGTGTGTGTGTGTGTGTGTGTGTGTGTGTGTGTGTGTGTGTGTGTGTGTGTGTGTGTGTGTGTGTGTGTGTGTGTGTGTGTGTGTGTGTGTGTGTGTGTGTGTGTGTGTGTGTGTGTGTGTGTGTGTGTGTGTGTGTGTGTGTGTGTGTGTGTGTGTGTGTGTGTGTGTGTGTGTGTGTGTGTGTGTGTGTGTGTGTGTGTGTGTGTGTGTGTGTGTGTGTGTGTGTGTGTGTGTGTGTGTGTGTGTGTGTGTGTGTGTGTGTGTGTGTGTGTGTGTGTGTGTGTGTGTGTGTGTGTTGTGTGTGTGTGTGTGTGTGTGTGTGTGTGTGTGTGTGTGTGTGTGTGTGTGTGTGTGTGTGTGTGTGTGTGTGTGTGTGTGTGTGTGTGTGTGTGTGTGTGTGTGTGTGTGTGTGTGTGTGTGTGTGTGTGTGTGTGTGTGTGTGTGTGTGTGTGTGTGTGTGTGTGTGTGTGTGTGTGTGTGTGTGTGTGTGTGTGTGTGTGTGTGTGTGTGTGTGTGTGTGTGTGTGTGTGTGTGTGTGTGTGTGTGTGTGTGTGTGTGTGTGTGTGTGTGTGTGTGTGTGTGTGTGTGTGTGTGTGTGTGTGTGTGTGTGTGTGTGTGTGTGTGTGTGTGTGTGTGTGTGTGTGTGTGTGTGTGTGTGTGTGTGTGTGTGTGTGTGTGTGTGTGTGTGTGTGTGTGTGTGTGTGTAAATATACACTCGTAGTACAGGACATGTGAAGCAAATAGCAGGTGAGGCAGAGTAGGCACAAGGCCTAAAGTAGTGCAGAAACGCTGATGATCACCAGGCACAAGGGCCTTGGTGAAGACATCAGTAGTGTTTGCCCAAGAGGCCACGTAAGCAAGGCACAGCTAACAACAGCTGCTGCAATTCTCGAGCAAGAAAGTAACAAAGAGCATTGTGCTTCGTCCTGTGCTCCAGCCTCTGCTCCCGACACAAGGCAAGCATGGCCTTGTTGTCGATGTACAGAACTGGAGGAGAAAGAGGCCGCTCACCCAAGTTGGTCAGCAAGTAGGTTAGCCAACATATCTCTTGTGCAGCATAGCCCCAGTGGAGATCTCGTCCTCACAGTCGGGCCCAAGCACAGAATACGAATGAGTGGACATCCACGAGACAGATCAGAGCCGAGACTGAAAGAGTAATCCTGTGACGACCGCTGAGTCGCCTGATCGTCGGCCCATAAAGCGTCGGAGTATCCTGTGAGTACCACTGAACCCTATCCTCCACGAACGAGCCCCTGTCCGATGTACTGCACAAGTAACGCAACACCTTCTGTGGCGCTATCCAGTGCTCCTTCCTGTGTCGCTCGGGCGTGACGAAGTGAGCAAGGATGCTTGCGGGTACGCGAGGTCAGGTTGTGTGCACGTCATCAAGTACATGAGGCAGCCCACAAGCGCTGGATATGGGCCACTCAGCTCTACGAACTCGTCCGAAGGTGGAGCTGAGAGTGAGTGGCCTGTAGGCAGAGGAGTCCGCCGTGGTGAGGAGAACTGAAAGCCGAAGCGCTGAAGGATTTGCTGCACCATGTGTGATTGAGTCACAGTGATGGTGCGCCTTGCTCAGTAGGAGCCATGGCTGCTTATGTGTATGAGAAGAAACGCCTACCCTTGATGGTAAGCCCAACTGAGAGTAAGGTTTCTCGTTTCTGCTGGTGAGACCTCAACCATGCTCGTGCCCCCAGTCACGAGCGTAAATGTTTCTAACGTGCACGCAAACGAACCGCAGAGCCACCCACTGTCGAGCAAGGAACACAATGCCCAGTGGGCTAGTGGGCACGGACTTGCTGCTGCACTCAGCCGAGTTTCCTGCTAACCCGGTCGTGTTGTCATGTCAGGGGGGGGGGGGGGGGGGGGGGGGGTGGTGGGAGGGGTGGGGGGGGAGGGGGGAGGGGTAGGTTTACTCGTTTATGGGTAAAACTCGTTATGGGATTCGGGAACCCTTAGTCATAAGTGTGCCTTAAATGTAAACCCTTGCACATCAGGGAAACCCTAGCTCCTACAAAAAAAAAATACCCGGAGCCATCAGTGTGACTACCAAATACCACTCTGATTATCAGGGTATCTGAGTGATTTACATTGATAAAATTTACCCTGATCGAGACTCGTCAGGGATGAAAAAAAAAAAAAAAAAAAAACGCAGAGCACATTAATTTCCAAGCGTTCCAAACAAACTTGTGCTTTCAAGTGGGGCCAACTAGAAGGGGGGGTCACTATTTTAGCTGTTGCATTGAAAATTCATAACCTTGTTGCATAAAGAATTGAGACTACTGCTTTTGAATGGAATATTGTCGGGTTTGTGTATTCGAAGAAGAACACACTCGAAGATGCACATAAGGGCGGGTCCGAAGTGATGTCGACATCCGTTGACATCCGATGTCGGTAAATCCTGACGGTTGGAACTCTGGATCCGAGGGTTGACATTTACCGACATCCATCGACATCCATTCGACGCTTCGGACACGCTCTAACGCACTAAAAGAAACGACAAACGCACGCAGAGCAGCCCCGGTCCAGGTTTCGACAGAAGTCGTCAAGTCATCAGTCAACATCCAAGTTCTGTTTGGTTCGCCTGGGGGATCTGCACTTGGGACAGAGTGACGACAGAAGCTTACGACGAGCTGTAACCGCTAAGGCGACGCACATTTCGGCATGTGCAAACAAGTACTGTACGGTATCTGCATGCAGTCAATCAAGTCTCCTATATTTGTGCGTATTTCGCCCAATGTTTCGTTTTTTTTCGTCCACATATTTACTCAGCCCACTTCGCGACCCAATAAAAACCCTGTTCGTAACAGTGCACTTTTACGTCAGCGCAGGCTGCTCTTTGTCGTCTTTTTCCACATTTCATCGTCTTCCTCACAGGACTGGTCATGAACCTTTGTTGTAGGGTGTTCCCTTGAAGCACTGACGCCTTTCAGCTACACACCCTTAATTTCGTGCTTTTACTACATTCGTGGGTCTTATCAACGTACTGTACTTGCACTGCCGCATTCGACGGGGGTTATCGCGGATTCGACATGGGGGAAACTGGGAATGAAAAACAGGTGGATCTGAAGTCCCAGATGAGCGAGAATTAGGGTCGCCAAATGCCAAGTCAAGCCCTTGACTGGTCCCATCCAATGAAAGAGCTCGCATGACTTTTGTCATCTGCCGCGAAGTCAAGCCAATCTGATCTGACGTGGCTCATCTGTCTCAACTCCCTCACACCACCCAGTCACTTTCTGGGTGATCGTAGGAACGACCCAATTCGCAAATCCGCGGTGCGATGATGCTCAAGTCAATTCTCATACACCCAGTCACGAATGTACTTTCTTGATTTGAATCGAAGGCGCTGGACATCCCATACAGCTTCAGTGGTAGCACTCACAGTGGTGAGGTGGTCCAAAGTAAATTCAAGCGATTTACTCGCGCAGGCTCCAGCACTAGTTCCGAGTCCGAAAGCAGAACATGAAGACACGCGGCTCTTCGTTGTTTTTTGCCACTGGCAGAAGAGCCGCAGGAGGGACATCGTGGCTCCTGGTTTTGTTCGCCGCGATGCTTCTGGGAGCACCTTCTCCGACGGTAGCAAGGCATCCTGACGAGGACAAACCTCACGGCCCCTTGACACAACCCCGCGGATGTTGGAAGAAGTGCAACAGGCTTAAGCTGGGGTACTACATAAATAAGCCAAAAGACACGAGGGCGTCGGGACCGCACCACATTCTCGGGAACTACAACTATGAGCGCTACGTTCTCGACCCTGCGGCCGCAAATGTCGTTGGCTCCTTGGATTCAACCGGGGTAATAATTCAATAAGCCCCAGTATCGCAAGGCTGCGTTCCGTCATGCCTTCCGTCGTGCCTTCCGTCATTTATTGTCCCACCGCCAATATCGCATGGCTGCGTTTCTCCGTTGACTTTGAACAAGGGCCGCTCGGCGGCGCATCACTACCTTATATTTTAACTTGCCCTCGTATTTTCCCGTCTCTCCTCTTGGCAGTTTGTGGATTGCTGTCAGAAGTGTGCCATGAAGGTGGGCTGCAGATTCTGGCATTTGAAACCTTCAATGAATGGCGAGATGTAAGCATCACCACTGATATTCGTTATCCTTGTCATGCGATGACAAAGCATTGAATGCAGTACTTGCCCTCACTCCGTGTGACAAGCTTCTTTTCCTTCAGTTCAGAATTCTTTTCACCGTGTGTGACTTGTCAACGCCTCCGCTTCCCCTCTCTTATAACCGCCGGCTAACTTCCTACTATCCCCCTCCCCGTGACATCAGTGGCCAATGCACGTTGTTGGGTTCATTGGCAGGCATCACCGTGCGGAACTGGGACATAGCCATCCTCCCAACGTTCCTGGGCGGCGAGTGCAACCCCCTTGCCAACACGGACGACGACCCGCATTTCCGGGGCGCAGATGGCACCCAATACGACTTCAACGGCCTTCTCGACCGCTCCTTTTGCTTGGTTTCCGACCGTCGGATCCACATCAACATGGGAATCAAGGGTTATCAGCCCATCGCGAATCTCCCCGGCACGGCGACATCGTTGGACGAAGAGTCGCTCGCTGCAGCGGTGGAAGCGGCGGCCAATGAGAAGAAGCCACGTCATATCAGGCAGCTGGAACAAGAGCGGCTGAGCGTGGAGGAACTGAGCGAGCTGGAGAGGATGCGGGCCAACGGGAGCCTGCCGTTGACCGATGAGGTGGTGGCGGCGCTTGACAGGGAGACGGGTCGTCGCAGTGGCGAAGAAGGCGCCGGGGGAGAAGGGGAAGAGAAGGAGCAGCATTCGATTCAGTATGCGAAGCATGAGCTGAAGGCGAGGCTTCTGAAACAAAAGCCGATTCGCAGCTGGATCAGGTATGCAACACTGTGCTTTTACATGATGCGCATGCGCCATGTACTCGTAGCCATAGCATGCGCCGTGCTTGTAGACTGCAAGAGTCGTCATAAGACTCTTTCTTCTTTGCTGCACTACCTTCATGCTTTGTGCCTTCCAGGGAGCTTCAAGTGATGTGGCGTGATTCGACTGGCAGACAGCACTCGGCATTCTTTAAGGCGCGCGACGGCAAGGAGCAAGGGAGGGGCAGCAGCGGGTTCATCGACCGACTGGAGCTCGACGGCTCGCCGGTGGCCCCGCCTCTGTCCGAAGGCTCTTTCATCGTTGGCAGCGGCGGGTTCAATCTGCTGCTGGCGGAGACACGGAGCTGCAAGGGGAAGAACGAGGACGAGTTTCATCTCACAATCGACGGCCTGGTGGACATGGGCATCTCAGCGCGTTTGGCGCATCCGCTCATGCAGACGGCTACGGAGGCCCAGGCACATTTCAACGTGCATATCGCCCGGCTCAATGTGAGACCTTCTGATTGTTCTCGCTCTCCGGTGGTTGTGCTGTGCCTGGCCGGTTCTGCCATTATAACCGTCCTGGTATGGTACCCATTTTGTCATTTTGTCCCATGCAACGTCTTCCCTTCACCCATCTCCCCATCTCCCCCTTCCTGTCGTTCCCTCTTTCCCTCCCTTGTGCAGCACACGAGTGGCATTCACGGTGTGCTGGGTCAGACCTTCCGAGCCGAGGAATCCCGCAAGGTGCGCTCGCTGCGGTACCGCCTGCTGACCCGCCTGCTGCGCGAGCCGGTGGAGGTGGAGAGTGAGAGTGGCAGGGGATTCCTGGATGGGCGCACGGAGGACTATACCACCTCGGATATTCACTCCGCGGATTGCATGTATGCTGCTGCGTGGCGCAGGGGGGAACACGAGAGCAGCGACGGAAGCGATTTCATGTGACAAGGGATTATGACGCAGTGCTGCAGAATCGTTTTCTGAGGTGGTTTGGGGATCATGATCACCTTTTACATTGGTCAGATATACCAGATAGCCTAGCAAATAAACACGCAGCCATAATGGCACGCCAACTACAAGTGGGGAGTTCAGGTGTTTTGTAAATCCTGTGTTTGCTTCTTTTCCTTGATTCGAAATGCTTTGTACCGCAAACCCTCATATAGTATCCTGAATAATTTAAACCAACTTAACTAGCAATCAGTGTATTGCGCATGTGGATTGGGGCCCACACGCTATTTTTATGATTCTGATAATCAGAGGTGCTTGAGAGCCACTTCAGGTCCCTTCCCCCCCCTTTCTGCTTCACATTGCACGTCCCTCCCTTCCCCTCCCATATCACCCCAAGTAGAGCTGATTTGACAACGCCCTTACTGCAACGCCTCCTTGGATAAGCACTCCCACAACTCCACCTCCCCTCACATCCCTCCATTTTAGGTTAGGAGGATCAAAAGCAATAAACCTAAAAGAGAGGCAATTATGAATTAATGAACCCTGAATACGAGAAAAAATCTGCATATTCATGGCATATCATTCTGAAATGACATTCTTTACCAGTGTTGTCGATTTCTTATGCCTGAGCCCTAAACATATGCTAGTACATATATGTGTGTATTTATATATATGATAAATATACCTGTATGTGTATGTATGTACATTCCGCCCATGTTCATCTCTATAAACAAGTCATCTTGTATAGCACCTCGGATCTTGCTCCTTGTCACCTCCTCCCCGATATGAAAAATTCACTTGCTGTGTTGGATATTGGACTGAAGCGACTCTGCCCAATCGCGACTAACAGCGAAGCATATGCACGCAAGTACAGCGGCAGACGAAACGAGTGTGGCGTAATTTCAGCTGCACCACGTACAGCAGCTCTCGAAACTCATCATTCCGGGTCGCGCCGACATGCCAGCGGCAGCAGCGAGCCGTCCTGGCGAGGCGTGGCGGCGGGCGGGGCGGGCGGAGGAGCTGGTGGCGGGGCTGGCGGCGGGCGACGCGAAGGTGCGGCTGCGCGCCGTGCGCGACGTGAAGAACGCCGCCATCGGCAGCCGCACGCGCAAGCTCGCTTTCATCCGCCTGCGAGCCGTGCCCAGGTGCGCCTCTCTTCCCCGCGCGCGTCCCTCCTCCGCGCGCCTCCCTCCTCCGCGAACCTCACTCCTACGCGCGCCGCGCCGCGCTCTTTCCCGCGCCTCCTTCCCTGCCCCTCTCTCCCCTGAAACCACGGCTGCGCTCTCCACGCGGCCTTTTTCCGTACCACCGCCCCACCGCGCGCCTTACTGTTTCCGCGCCCTTCTGTTTCCGCGCCCTGCTGCTTCCCGCATCTCCGTTCCCTCTCCATCCGATTCTCTGAGGGGGCACTGGATGGGGGAGAGAGGTTTGGGGAGTGGTTTGGGGAGTGGTTCGAGTCAGTGTGGTGGGGAGTGGTTTGGGTGTCTTGGCAGTGGTGCCGGTCTCTGAGAAGTGGGTCCCTTCCTTGCGGGTCCACCATGCCTGCTGTCCGTTTCTCCTTGACCCCCATTGCTATGCTGGCCTTGCCCTTCCTGACTGAATGCTTGCCTGCTTGTTCGCCTGCCCTCGTTCCTTCCTGCCTACCTTCCTACCTGCCTGCCTGCCCTCGAACCTGCCTGCGTGTCTGTTGACCTGCCATGCCCGTGTGTGCCGTGCCGTGCGTGCGCCCATCAGGCTGGTGGCCATGCTAGAGGGAGCGGACGGAATGGAAGGGGCGGAGGGAACGGAGGGGGCGGAGGGCGAACAGGGTGCGGAGGGGGCGTGGGGAGCGGAGGAGGTGCAGCAGGCGGCGGCAGCGGTGGGCAGTTTGGCATGCGGGCTGCCGGAGGGCGTGCATGCCGTGCTGGCTGCTGGGGCCGTGCTGCCGCTGCTGCGCTGCTTGCTGCACCCGCACACCAAGGTATGGTGACACCCCCATGCCAAGGTATGGTGACACCCCCATGCCAAGGTATGGTGACACCCCCATGCCAAGGTATGGTGACACCCCCATGCCAAGGTATGGTGACACCCCCATGCCAAGGTATGGTGACACCCCCATGCCAAGGTATGGTGACACCCCCATGCCAAGGTATGGTGACTCCCCCATGCCAAGGTATGGTGACACCCCCATGCCAAGGTATGGTGACTCCCCCATGCCAAGGTATGGTGACACCCACATGCTGCCGGAGGGCGTGCTTTCCGTGCTGGCTGCTGGGGCCGTGCTGCCGCTGCTGCGCTGCCTGCTTCACCCTCACACCAAGGTGACGCCCCATGCTGGAGTTTTTTTTTAGAATTCTCAAATGCGGTTTGGCATGTGGGCTGCTGGAGGGTGTGCATGCTGTGCTGGGAGCAGGAGCTGTGCTGCCTCTGCTGCGCTGCCTGCTGCACCCGCACACCAAGGTGACAGCTGGCGGAGGGCGTGCTCCCGCTGGCTGTCTGGCTGGCAGTGGGGGCCGTGCTGCCACTGCTGCGCTGCCTGCTGCACCCCCATGCCAAGGTGATGCCTGCTTGCTGCCATAGCATGCGATGTCCACATGCCACGGATGGACGTGACATGCCACGGTGCCATGGGCACCGCACTACATGCACGCCCCTGTCTGCCCCACTTTGCACCTCTCTGAACCTCTCTGCACCACTCTGCCCCCCCTGCACTTATCTGCAACACACAGGTGGTGGAGGCAGCTGCAAGGTCACTGCGTCTGATCTTCCAGTCCACTCCTGCTCTGCCACGTGGCAGCACTGCTGCAGGGGATTGGCTCTCGCCCGCCCTCACCCTGCTGCCGTCCCTGCTCGCCTCCCCCAACGAGACAGTGTCAGAGGTGAGTGTGCATGTCGTTACCTTGGTAACCACACTGCGTGTTGCCACCCTCGCGCACCACCATGCATCCTCTCAAGCCTAGGTTTCCACTGCACTCTAGTCGTGCTTGCTCCCCCTCCCACCCCCTCCCCCCGCACCCCTCCTTTCCCTTCCACACCAGGTGGCATCCAGTGTGGCAGTGCACAGTGTGCACTCGCACCAGCAACAAGAAGCTTTTGGGCTCTTCAATTCAAAGCACCCCTTCCAGGTGGCAGCCCGTGTTGCAGCGCACTGTGTGCACTCGCACCAGCAGAAGGCATCGTTTGAGGCGCTTCAAACCAAAGCACCCCTTAACCCCCCACCCTTCCTCTGCCTATCAACCAGGTTGCAGCCAGTGTGGCAGCGCACTGTGTGCACTCGCACCAGCAGCAGGCAGCTTTTGGGGTGCCTCAAAAGCACCCCACTCCCGCCTGTACCCACCCCCTTCCCCCTGTCCCCATCCCCCCAACCCCAACCCCCCACCCCTCCCCTCACCGTCCCCACTAGGTGGCAGCGAGTGTGGCAGCGCACTGCGTGCACTCGCACCAGCAGCAGGCAGCGCTGGCAGCAGCAGGCGGGCTGCTGTCGCTCTCGCGCCTGCTCGCGTCGTCACCGCGCTGCACCGATGCCGCTCTGCTCGCCCTGGCGGCGGCTGTCAAGGGCAACCGGCAGCAGGCCGCTGCTCTCGTAGGTGCGTGTGCTGTGCAAGTGTGTATTCAATTCGCTGTGCTGCTGCTTGCTGCGTGTGGGCATGACTCCACTGCCCTGCTTGCCGCTGCATGCCTGTGTTCGCCGTCGGTTAAAATCACCATCTTCTCACTCCCTCCCTCCCTCACTCACTCACTCAATGCGCAGATGGCTCACTCGCACACACACACACCGTTCACAATCACCACTTCTTCCTCGACTCCCGTCCCCCCCGCCCCTTTTCCCCCTTCAACACCCTACCTTCCGCAACTTGCCGATACCCACCCTCCTCCCCGCACGTGCTGCAGATATGGGCGGGGGAGCAGCGCTGGCGGCGGTGGTGAGTCTGACGCGCCACCCATCCCCCACCACGCGCCTCAATGCCTGCCGCTGCCTGCTGCACGTCGAGGCAGCTCTCTGGCCACACGGCGGTGCCATCACTGCGGTGCCCCGCTCCTTTCTCCAACACCCCGCTCCCGCCCTCGCTGCCCTGCCCGCTCCTCCTGTCTCCTCCGCAGTTCCACCTGCCACCACCGCTGCTGCCCCTGCCTGTGCTACTGCAGCGGCGGCTTTGCCCCCTGCCACAGCAGCTGCAGCGGCGGCTGCGAGCGTGAGGGTTGAGCGGGTTGCACGCAGCAGCAGCGGCGGCGGCGGCAGCATTGCGGGGGATGGGGGTGGACGGGCGGGTGGGCGGGGCGGTGGAGTGAAACGGGATGCATGGGGCGGGTTGAAGGCAGGCGGGATGACCAAGGGCGATCGGGGCATGTGGCCGCGGCAGCAAGGGCACGAGCAGGCGGCGTGTGGGCGGGAGGGTGAGGAGGGGCGGGCGCAGCACGTGGTGTGCGGGGCGCTTTTGTCCCCTCGCACAGGGGCCCACACGCCTGCCACCGCGCCCACACCTGCTACTGCTGCCAGTGGCGAGAGGCCGATGCGCGTGGGGGTGGGTGTGGGCATGGGAGTGGGCGTGGGGGCGGCAGCGGCGGTGGATGTGAACGTGGCGGCGGTGGTGCTGGTGGCGCTCATCAACCTGCTGCCTCTCCCCGACCAGGTCAGCCCCTCTCTTCTCTGCACCTCCGCACTATGCTCACACCGCCTCCGTTCCTCAACCTGCTGCCTCTCTCCGACCAGTTCACCCGCTTTTTGCTCTGCACATGGCCTCCTTCCCCTCCTTTTCTTGTCGTTGCAAGTCCATGCACCTGCCGCTCCCCCTCATGCGCTGACCATTTTGGAAAGCATTTGCCATGTGGAAGGCATGTGCAGGTGGACACACTAGTGCTCTCTAGCTGTTGTTCATCAGCCCATTGGTCTCGTCTGGTGTTTGCAACCTTCTCCTGCAAGCCCTTTCCATGTCTCCCTGCTCCCCCTCCCTCCTCTTCACCAGGTGGGCGAGCAGGCGCCGAGGCTACTGCAGCAGCTGCTGGGCGGCAGGGAGGACGTGCAGTGGGCGGCCTTCAACGCCCACGCGGCCTCCGAGCTCGTCGCTCTGCTCCGCCCCGCCCCCACCGCTGCCTCTTCTCCTTCCCCCATTACCTCCCCTTCCTCGCTTCCCATCCCCTCCTCCTCCGCTTTTCCCATCCCCTCCTCCTCTTCCCCTCCTCCCATCCCCCCATTTCCATCCTTCCCGTCGCCGCTCATCCCCTCCTCCTCCTCGCCTCCCACTGCCACTGCTACCAGGCCACTCTTCTCCCGCTCTCCACCCGTGGTAACTTTTGGCTCCGTAGGCTTGGCCGAGCCTACCTCCAACGGCTTGGTATTTACAGAGCCTAGGGCCTCCCGGGGATGGCTGAGCGGAGTGGGGCGCAGGGAGAGTGCGGAGTTCCCATCGCGTAGATGGATGGCATGGGGTGAGCGGGGCGAGAACACTCGGGCATGGGACGACGGGGCGAGAGTGCGAGGGGGGCGCGAGGGGAGAGAGGGGAGAGAGACGCGAAGGGGGAGTGGGGAGGGGTTGGGCTGGAGGAGTGAGGGCGGAGGAGGGAGTGTGCGGGGAGGGGAGAAGGGGAGGAGTGAGGGGGAGGGCAGTGCGGTGCTGGTGGAACGCAGTGCGGTTCAGAGGGAAAGTGCATTGGCGGCGCTAGCGGTGCTGTGCTCCTCGTGGGAGCCCATCCGCCGCCAGGCTCTCGACCTCAAGGTGATGTGTTGCACTAAGTACGGCTAACCAGTGTTTATAGACGCACTTAGACCTCAAGGGAATGCCTGGTGCAGGTGATGCCAGGGGCAGGTGAGAGAACAAGCACTGCACGTACACCCCCCTCTCTGCACCCACGATGCGTATTGTCTCACACATTGTGTCTTCCCGCCCTCTCTCTCTCACCGCTCCCCTCCCCTTCCTCTCTTTCCCACCAACCCCCTCCCACAGGTGCTACAGCCTCTGCTGCGCTGCCTCGATGCCTCCCAACCCATGCCCCTGCGCGCTGCTGCGTGCTCTTGCCTGCACTCACTCGCGCGCTCCATCAAGGTGCCAGTCCCCTTGCTCTGTCTCACCTCAGGTTACTAATCAAAGTCTCCAGTGATATTCAAGTACGAGTAGAGTTGATGAGTATTTTGCAGTGCAGGCAGTCTATTCAACGTTGACCACTATTAAGTATCCAGAAGGCAGTCGATTGTAGGATTCCATCCCCGGCTCATCCCTCCACATTTGTCTCAACTGCCTGCCCTTCTCCCACCAACCCCCTCCCCCTCCCCCCACATGCGGGCCTGAGACTGTTCAGAATCTCCGCACGGGCCTGTCCACGGCGCCCATCATCCTCGCCGTGCTCAACCTCGCCGCCTCCCCCGACCCCTCTGCCCAGGTGCGCCCTCCCCCGACCCCTCTGCCCAGGTGCGCCCTCCCCCGACCCCTCTGCCCAGGTGCGCCCTCCCCCGATGCCTCTGCCCAGGTGCGCCCTCCCCCAGTGCCTCTGCCCTGCGTCCACCCCCGTCGCTTCCCCGTCCCCTCCCATCCCCACCACTTTTGCACATTTTGTTTCCCCCAAGCCTCTCTCAACCTCACCTCCTCCCCAGCCATCAGCACTGGCAGCTTTGGCCAACCAACACCGCACATTGAGCAACGGTAGCCTCTTGCGGAGTAATGAATGATTCGAAACGCAGCAAGTCGTGTGGTCACCGTTGAAACTTTCAGCTAAGTATGGGTGGGTTGCTTCGTTAGGACTAGGAAAAAAGGTATGAATGAGGACTTGATAAGTCTCAAAGTAAAAGTACAAAGTAGGCGTACGCGTTTCGGCCTGTGATGAAGGCCTCACAGTCCTCATTCATACCTTTTTTCCTAGTCCTAACGAAGCAACCCACCCATACTTGGCTGAAAGTTTCAACGGTGACCACACGGCTTGCTGCGTTTTGAATCCTTCATTACTCTGCACATTGAGCAACTCTTATGTTCCTCTCTCTCGTCATTGACCTCGCCTCCCTGCAGCTACCAGCGGTGTCAGCGCTGGCCAATCTGCTGCTGGACTTCCGAGGCGACACGGGTGCTCTCGTGGATGCAGGGCTGCTCTCCCGCATGGCTGAGCTGACAGCTGGGGTTGTTGGGAAGCGTGAGGGGTGGGTGCGAGAGGAGGTTGTGGAGGGGAGAGTGGGGGAGAGAGCGGACGGGGGTGTTAAGGGAAGAGTGGAGGGGATTGTGGACGAGGGTGTGAAGGGGAGTGTGAAAGGAAGTATGGAGGGGAGTGTGGGGGAGAGAGTGGGGGTAGCAGGGCAGGTGGTGGAGCGCAGTGTGATGGTGCTGCGCAACGTGGCTCACTCCGCCACCACACCCGTCAAGCAACAACTGATCGCCCTCCTGCTGCCCGCTACCCTGCCCGCCCTGCTGCAAGGTGGGTGTCCCACTCGCGTCCCATTCTCTCCAACCGTTTCTCCACCAATTGCCATTGTTGTTGCCAGTGCTAACCTCTCTGCCACCTTGTCGTCTCTCCATCGCGCCGCATCTTCACCGCTCTGCACCCCTTCCCACCTCCAGCTCCCTGGCCGGGTGTGCAGGTGCAGGCGGCAGCGCTGCTGCGCAACGTGGTGCACGGAGCAGAGGAGCACGCCCACCTGCTGCTGGCCCCCGCTGCCCTCCACGGCGCTCTCCTGCGCCTCCTCGCCGCCAAACTGCTGCCCGCCCGCCCTGTGGCCCTCTCTCCAGCCACAGTGGGAGGTGCTATGAGGGGAGCAGGGAGAGGAGCAGTGATAGGAGTGAGAGGAGCAGCGAGAGGGGATGCAGAGGAGGAGGGCGTGGAGGATGCGGAGTGTGAGTTGGCGGCAGTGCGGCGAGCGCACTATGCAGTGCGATTGGAGGTGCGTCGCCTGCATCGCTTGCTAAACTGCTGCTCCCTTATGAGACTTTTCCAAACCTTCATCTCTTTCTGGCTCACTCCCCTTCCTGTCTGCAAATCGTGGTCCCTTGTTGTGTGTTGTGCTGACCTGTATCTCGGCAGGCCATGCTGGCTCTGAGCAACGTGGCAGCAGGGGGCGCACAGGCCAAGGACTCGGTGCTGCCGCTGCTGCTGCTGCCCGCCGCCAAGGTCAGGGAGCTTGAAGCGTGCTGGCAGGCAGGCAGAGGGGGTGAAGCAGCCACGTGTGATACACCAGGCCCAGGGAATGGGGAAGCAGGTGGAGCAAAGGCGGTGGCATGCAGTGTGGCAGGCTCAAGTGCAAGTGCTTGTGCTGCTGCTGCCGGACGAGAGGGAAAAGGAGAAGCGCTGGCAGCCACACTTCCGCTGCATTCCCTCCACCACCACCCGCCATCCAGCCCTTCCCAGCCCAACGCTACCCCCTCCCTATCCTCTGCACGACTCTCGCCCCCTCCTCCCCCTCTCATCCTGCACCTGCTACGCCTGCGTGGCTGCACATCCCTGCGCCTGGCCTCTCTCTGGTGCCTCGCCAACCTCTGCCGCCCTGCCTGCCCGGGGGCTGACAGGCGAGCTGCTGCGGTGAGGGCAGCAGAGGGCCTGGTGGTGCAGTTGGAGATGCTGGCAGCGCAAGGGAGCTTCGACATTGCTGTAAGCCACGCACACATGCACACGTGCACACGTGCAGACATGCAATCGCTCTCTGCTAGTGTGTTGCTGTGAATAGGTCTCGCTGCTCTCGCCCTCTGCCGTGAGGCCGGTAAAGGGTGTGGGGGCACAGCTGGAGAGGCTGGCTCGCAGCACAGGGGAGCTTTGACATCGCTGTAAGACATGCTGCGGATAGGTTCTCACTCGCCCTCTGCTTTTCTGTTGCTGTGGATAGGCTTTTGTGTGTGGTCGTTTTGAGTTTTTTTGCGCACTTGGGGAACGCACTGTGATTCCTCATGCATGCATACACGTGTGTGTGCGCGTGTACATGTGAGCAAGTGTGGGTCTGTGTGTGTGTCGTGGCACAAACATGCCTGTGCTCTGCTTTGCTTTTCTTCCTGTCTGATACTCTCTGCAGTGTCGGGCCAAGCTAGCACTTGATTACGTGACACGGGAAAGCTGACACACTGCTGCTGCTGCTGCTGCTGCTGCTGCTGCTGCTGGCTGTGTACCTGGCATGTACCTGCTTGCTTGCAATGGGATGTGATCGCGAGTGACAGCGAGGCCACGGTTTTGCCGGCCCATAGATACGTACGGTATATTTTATTCAGCTACAGTGTTTTGTTATAATAACTTGGCCTAGAAGAGCAGTTCAGAAGTTGCAAGTACGGATGCCAAGTATGGTGCATAACACATCGTTAGTGCTGAAACGCCATGTAAAGAACGTTCAGATTGTAAGTGTGCCTCGCGTAACGCGCCTCGTCAGGAAACCGAATATCGTAACTGACACCGACAATGAAATTCACACCGAAACTGATGATGAGACTGACTTTTTCTTGAATTCCGCCGAATACCTCCTTGCAGGGCTGAACCTCCTCCTCAACTTTCACCCTCGTTTTTTTCCCGCAGGTTGGGAGAAGGTGAGGAGATGGAGATTTAGGTCCACCTCTACCATCTCCCGATAGAGCTCGTTTACCATCGTAGTAGCTCCGCCCACACAGTCCAAAAAAAAATTATAGCCTATTCCCACTTAATCTCCCATAATATTATTGTTGTCGTTTTGATGCTGTAAAGTCGGTGCAGCGGCGAACCACTTCTAACACTATGAATCGTACCGTGCCGTCTCCCCTCTTCCCCACCTTCTGGACTGCTTTCTCTCCTCCCTCACCGATCGCGGAGGTCCTAACCGATAATTATCTTCTCTCGCTCGTGCTGCGCTCGCTAACGCGCGACTCCTTCCATCACGCGCTTGTCTCCAAGCAATGGTACGCCGTAGCACGCGTCTCGCTCACGCACCTCCGAATCAAATCCAGGATCCACTTCTCCGTTCTCCTAGACACGATTCGCAGCTTCTCCTCCCTCACGCACCTCGAGCTTCGGTACTGTCACGTTTCGAATCCGAACGGCGATGCTCTCTTCCAATGCGTGGGCGCCACGTGTCCGCATTTGACACATTTGACCGTACACTACCAGGCTCTCCTGCACATCACGTGCAACGGCCTCTCGTCTCTCTTCCATGGCTGTCGCAAGCTCCGCGACCTCCGCCTGCTCACTTTCAACCACCTCACACTCCCGCCCGCCGTCTCTCTCCTCTCCGACCTCACAACCCTCCATCTCTGCCGCCGCACTGGCGACGATTACTTCGAGCATCTGCTTTTGCCAACCGAAAGCATCCGCGCGCTTCAGCAGCTACGGGAAGTCCGCTCGAATATATCGCCGTTAGAAGGACTCCCGGATTCCACCAGCAGCCTCGCGCCCCTCCCCAGCTCGATTGGTCACTTACCACATTTGCAAACCCTAGAAATTGTGATGGGTGTGCAGTCAATCCCGGATTCCTTTCAGCATCTCACCAGCCTACGTTCCCTCTCGCTGCAGTCCCAGCATTTGATGTGCCTGCCAGAGCATGTGATGGGGGCAATGACGCGATTGGAGGAGCTTTTCCTTCGCTGGGGGTCCCTCCAGACCCTCCCGGACACCATCTGCTCCCTCCCCCTCTCCTCCCTCTCCATCGACGCATGCCCTGCACTCACCTCTCTTCCTGACAATCTCGGATTCCTGGCACACCTTGAAACCCTAGCGCAACCTCTGTGCTCTGCCCGAGAGCGTGGGCAACTTACAGCGACTGAGGAGGTTGAGAATCGAGAGTGTGCGTCTGCTGCAGCTGCCGGAAAGCCTGTGCACGGGGAGTGTGAGGCACAGTCTGGAGAAGCTTCACCTGCGCGGCTGCAGTGAGCTGAGGCGGCTGCCCCCCCAGCTGCCCATGCTGACGCGCCTCCAAGAGCTCGAACTCACCGCCTGCCCTCGCCTCGAGTCCCTAGACCCTCTGTTTGCTCCGGATCCCGCATTAGGCGTGACCTGCTCCCTTGCTTCTGCTCTCTCCGTTGATCCTGCCCCTGCCCCTCCTCCTGACCTTGCGCCTCGCCCTCCTCTTGACCCTGCTCCTGCTTCTGCCACTGTCGCTCCTACAGCCGCTGCTGCTGGCCCCACCACTGCTTGCACTCATACCGATAAGTCCACCCAGCCACAGCCACAGCCACAGCCACAGCCAGAGCCAGAGCACAGTGTCGTGATGCAAGTCCCGCTGAGCCTCCCTTCTCATTGAAGCCTTCCCTCCCTTTACTCTCCTCCACCCTTCTCACTTTTCTGTCCCCTTTCTTCCAGCAGGTGACCCTCCCTAACCCTTGTTCCTCCTGGCGTATGTGATGAGCTTACTCTCCTTCCCTCCGCGTGTATCAGGCGACCCTTGAACAAGTCTAAACCCCCTCGTAAGGGCTCCGTCAGATTGCTCCTGCTTCTCCCTACTGCTAGCTTCCTTTGGCATAGGAAAACAAGATTGCAGTAAAAAGAAACATACAAGCAAAAAGCGAGAGACCTGAGTGCTCCCCCCGACTACATTCCCTCCTCCTCCTGCCTAGGTTCCTCCTGCAGCACGCTAACTCTAGTGCCAGACGCGAGTCAGCTGCACTGCTCGTGATGGCTCCTAGGTGCTAGCTAGCTCCCACTGGGCCCACTAGGCATGCACTGCAATCCAGCTGGAATCGAGCTCCTAGCCTGGAATCGCATTCCCAGCTGGAATTGCATTCCCAACCTGGAATCGAATTCCCAGCTGGAATCGAATTCCTTCTTCTGTACCAACCTCCTCGAATTTCCCTGCACTCGGCTCTGTAAAGCGTATGTACAGTACATACCACGCACACAAAAGAAATTAGAGTACAAGTCCAGAAATGCACAATTACCTGGCTGCTGTGTAATTCACGCCTTAGCCTGCTGGCTAGGCGTTAATAACGTGACAGCTGTCGTGATGCAAGTCCCGCTGAGCCTCCCTTCTCATTGAAGCCTTCCCTCCCTTTACTCTCCTCCACCCTTCTCACTTTTCTGTCCCCTTTCTTCCAGCAGGTGACCCTCCCTAACCCTTGTTCCTCCTGGCGTATGTGATGAGCTTACTCTCCTTCCCTCCGCGTGTATCAGGCGACCCTGCCCCCTCCCGTGCCTGAGCAGTAGCTCCCGCAGCTCTGGTCACGGGATCTTTACCCTGAATCTGCACTCCCTTCGCTCGAGCCACATTCGTCACATGCTCCTTGACTTTCTTTCCTCGCTGATCCTCCAACACTAGGACTCCCGACTCCCGCACTTCCTTCACCTTCCACCGTTCAGGACCCACGGCTAGGTCCAATGTGTCCCTCTTCGCCTTCCTCGGGTATACCTCCTGTCCTGCCGCTATAGCCTCTCTCTGCTTTCCTTTACCCTCCTCCTTGCGTTGCTGATATCGACGTGCATCCCTCAGCTGCGCGACATGTAAATTGTCCAAGGCTGCTGGTGTCAGCTCCCTCAGGTACCGTGCCCTCTTCTGTGCTACTTCGGCCCATAAACCAGGCTCGTCTGCCTCCACGGCAACCGACAACAGCTTTGGTGCGTCCACGGGTAAGACTGGGTCCCGACCGTACAGCAGATGGTAGGGTGACAGATTCTTCAGAGCAGATTGCTTAGCAAACCTGTATCCCGCCAGAATCCAGGGAAGCTCCTTGTCCCAAGTCCTCTTGTTGTTCTCCCCGTATGCCCTCAGTCCCTTCTTCAAGGTCTGTATCATTCGTTCGGTCAATCCATCCGACTGTGGGTGGTACCTTGAAGTCACACGATGAGTAATCCGGTTCTCTTTCAGCATCTCCTCGAAGCTGCCTTGGAATTCGGTCCCCTGGTCAGTCAATACCTCCCCGCACGCTCCGTATCTGGTGAGCACCTCTTGCACGAAAGCCTCAGCGATCAAGCTGCTGTTTTTGCTAGACAAGGCCCTGGCCTCCACCCACTTGCTGGTATGCTCTATCATTACCAGGATATACTGCTTTCCTTTGGTCGATAGCGGCAGCTCTCCTGCCAAATCCAGCGACCATCGATACCCCAAGCCTCGAATCGGTAGGGATTGCAGCTCGTCTCTTCCTCTCTCTAAAGCCGCCTTGTTTCGCTGACAAGCTTCGCAGGCTGCTACCATTGCAGCCACGTCCTTTCTCATGCTTGCCCACCAGTACATAGTGCTCAGCAGCTGTCGAGTCCTGGCTATCCCGTAATGCCCCAACTTCCCATGGACCTTTAGCATGATCCTCTCCCTGTCTTGCGGCTGTGGCACGACGCGCCATCCTTCGCTAGTGCGCATCTGTAACTGATCCTGAAACCATCGGTAATGCTGCCCCCTGGCCCTGGCCCGTTCGCTTACTCCTGAGTCCTCTAACGGCTCTCCTTTTATCCACCCCATGGTCTCCTGATCTTCCCACACATCCACCTGCCGCTGCTCTCCCTTCTCTTGCCCCCAGGTCACTTCTGCCACCTGTGCTAATGCTATCAGCTGTGCAACTGGCTGCATCGGAGGCGGGTTTCTGGATAACCCATCCGCGTGTTGCAGTGTCTTACCCGGTCGGTGACGGATATCGAAATCGAATCCCAACAGTTTGATTGCCCACCGGGCGTTCCTGCCCGTCAGTTCTTGGTTTTTCATCAACCATAGCAAGGGCTGGTGGTCGGTCACTAGCGTGAAGTGCCGGCCTTGCAGGTACACTTTGAAGTGGGTGATACCCCACACAGCG